AATTAATTCAAAGTTATCAATCCAGACAGAGCTAAGAATTCCAGTAATTTTCATCTTCTAAACTCCGCAATGGCCTTGCATAATATAATCCAATCTCAACTAAAAACTAAATTCTTTCCAAAAACCAATCAGACAACAAACATTATAAATTGATAGGATTGGATATTAATTAATAGAGGTGCAACACCAGTATGAAGCTGAAGTAGCTAATAGTATTACATTACACACAGAAATTAAAACAGAAGTGCTGCAAAGCTACAACTGTTTTCCGTTCAATGTAAAATGACAAATTTGTAATGGACCCAAAAAAACAAAAAACCACACACACAAGGAAAGAAATTAGCTTATCGCTCGGTTTCTCTCTCAACGTCAATCTCTAACCCTGGATCTGCTAATTGAGTGGTCAAGTCTTTCTCAATTGCTTAACATTTGGAAGGAAGAAATGCAGTTGATCGAGCAAACACTGAAAAAGAGTAAGATAAAAAAATGTGATCAGAATGTTTTTATTAAACAAGTGAAAGACAAATTTTCAGTTAAAACTAATTCATTTTGGTATTGCAAGAAACTCTAGCTGAAAAATAAAATATTACCATCAAAATACATTATGTATAAAGGAAGATAGGCTAAGTAGGTAGTTAGATATAAGAAATAAGTCAATGAATTCAAAGATATTATAACACAAGCTAAGAATTCTAGTAGTAATTTGCACTCTACTGTCTGCTCTGGAACAGAAAACAGAAGCTAGAAAGTAAAAAGAAATGAAGTATTACCATTGCAGCACGTGTTATATCTCCTCTTCCCCCATATCATCACCTTGGACCAGATAAAATAGATGGAATCAATGGAGAGGCAGTAACTGCAGCTGCATCCATTTGGTGTCGGTAAGTTTCCACCTCTGCCAGTGCTGGTGGATTTGAGAAATCATATTCGTTTTCATCATCCATTTTTCCCTCTAGGAACTTCACCATGATGGACATTGAAGGCCTCTTAGCATATTCACCTTGTAGACACCATGCCGCAACTTTCATCATCTCCACTACCTCTGCTGCATTTGATTGCATCTCCTCATTGTACTTATCCACTAGATCCAAAAATTGACCATCCTCAACCTTTCTCTTAAAAAGGCTTACCAAATGGCCATCCTCCTCCGGTAAAGATCGGTCAACGTTTTTTCTACCACATAAAATTTCCAGAACAACAATGCCAAAGCTATATACATCTACTTTTTCTGTGATTACTGAGTTCAACCATTCTGGGGCCATATAACCCGGTGTTCCCCTCATTGTTGTCACAATTTGGCTTTGGTCTCTCCCTACTAGCTTAGACAACCCGAAATCAGAAACCTTGGCATTGAAATTTTCATCCAAAAGGATGTTTTGGGGTTTGATATCTAAGTGAATTATTTTCTGCCTGCATCCCCCATGGAGATATGCTAGACCATTGGCTATCTCTAGAATGATCTTCCTTCTGCATTGCCAACCAAGAGCAAGCGCTTTGTCTCTGCAAAAGATCCATTGATCCAACGACCCGTTACACATGTACTCATAAACCAAAAGCATACGTGATTTCTCAACACAGAACCCAACCAGTCGTACCAAGTTGAAATGGTGAATGCTTCCTATGGTCTCAACCTCAGCTATAAATGACTTCCTTACAGGACCAAAACCATCAAGGCATTTCACTGCAATTTGAGTACCACAAGGTAATGTTCCTTGAAAAACACAACCGAATCCTCCCTCACCTAGCTTGTTGCTAAAATTGTTGGTTGCAATCTTTAACTGTTCATAAGAGAATCTCGTGGGTGTTCCTGAGATATGACCCAGATAATCCTCCTCAACATCCTTTGGATCCTTTTTAATTTGTAGTAAAAAGACAGTGGAGATAAGAAAGCCAATATAAGTGGCTCCTAGAGTGATTGCAAGTATAACTCCCACCTTGCTTCTTTTCTTTCTTTGTGGAAAATGTCCTGGAGAGCTCTGCACTGTGATTGAACTCTGCACCTTTAAAAACACAGATGAATTGTAATATGCATCCACTTCTCTTTTGAATGACAAAGCTTCAGATCCAAAGAAGCACAAGGCAGATGGTACAGGACTAG